AAAAAAAAAAAAAAAAAAGAAGAAAAGAAATGCATATTTTTGTTTGTTGTGAATGCTCATAAAATACAGTCCTATTATTATACATCTGTGAATTTGTACATCCGTGTACAATTTTACCGCACTTTACAACTTTACAAGTTTTTTTCTTTTGGTAATCAAAATTTGGGTATTTGTCGTGAAGTGTTATCAAACCAATCTGAAATCAAACTAATAAAGCAGAAATTTTGATTATAGTTTTCAATAAAACATAAATTTTTCTCCTTTTCAGGTCTTTCATGTTATGGTTTTTAGCATTATGCGATATTTGTTTTTTTATTTTTATTATGCCACATTCATTAGCACAATACAGTATTTTTGCGCTAAACAATACGTTCCGATGGATCTATCTAAATCTTAAAGTCAATCTTATCACTTTGACTAACTGGGCATCCGCTGCAGCCATTTGGTAATCAATTAAGTTTTTTCATTGCATTATTCAAACATTAAATAAATGCAACAATTTTTTTTTTTTATTTTCTTTTTTTACTTCTCTTTTATTGTTAGCTTTCCGGGCTTCAATTTTTCCTAATTGTTTCACCATAAACTTAATGCTCGGCTTCTTCGCTTAATTATTTCTAAAAGTCCTGACACCAATGTTGACAATTTAGTAAAACAATCCAAAGGGGAGAAAAAAAACGTTGAGGGATTTGGAACAGTCCGATAAAAAGCAGTGAAAAAAGACAGATGCTGTTTGTAATAGATATGATGATTTAAACCTGACTTTTTTTATCAAAGAATATGGCAACAAAGCGCTGGCATAAATATAATAGCACTACATGTGAAACTAACGTTTATCATATAAAACACCACCAGCAGTGAAAAAGTTGTAAATTAGCACCTTAAGTTGTAATCATAGATGTCTTTAAGCTTTCCAACTAACCGGACCATATTAATGATTAAGAAAACAAAACAAAAGAAAGACCTATTTTGTTCGCTATCAATCTTCTAAATGCAGTTCTACAAATTCCATTACTAAAAACACCAATTTTTAATCTGTTAGCTGAGCATAAAGTGATTGCCTCCTAAACTATATCCAATTCTCAAAATTCTATCTTTCAACTAGCGCCTAAGAAGTGAAAGATCACTGATCTATAGATAGATATTCTGCTAATTATACTCAATTAATCTGTGTAACGCAGTCGTATTTTTTTGTTATACGTGGATAAACCACATTTTACATGAACTCCCAGAGATGTCAAAAGTTAATAACTTTAACAGAATATCGACCTGATAGAAAAGTCAATTGTTAAAACCGATGACCAAAGCAAACATTATCATTTCTTTCAGGCAGAACAATAAAACCTTTTTTTAGTCCCAATTATATTTAAATAAGAATATTTGCTGCGTTAACAATAACTTTTTTTTTTTGTTGAATGATATCATTGTTTCAGATTTCTGAATTTCAGGACTGTCCTTTTTATTTGTTTTGAACGTCTCTTAGCAATACGGTATCCGTTTAAAATTCATCGTTATACCATAGATCGAGCCATATGGAGGAGGACTTTAATATTACTAATAACTGCAACAACTGGAATGCTCACAGCATACTTTCACTTTAGTTATACAAAAATTGCAAAAACATTCTGTAATGGTACACAGTTCCATGCCTACCACGTTGCTGTCAATTCCGATAAGTAAGTATAAATGGCTCAAGAAACCCGTAGAAAATCTAATTGAACAACCGACAAATCCGTATCTGAACTTTATGTTAATTTGTTTAGGTGGCCTGGAAACAGGACAAATCCTAATCCGAAGTGGCTGCAGAGTTACGTGTATTGGAGTGCCAAAGTTCACGAACTATTCGTAATTTTTATGCCTACAGTTATCATTATTTTTGCCAACGCTTTGCTGATACTGACGTTGAGATCAAGGTATTTCTCCGCTGCCCAGTTCAAAAAAAAAAAAAACTTAATTTGCTTCGCATATGACTTCACATGCAACTTACCGCAACTACCATCTCAAAGAAATAAAGCAATGCGAATTTTAAAGGAACAAGTTTGTCCGCACAGTGTCTCGTAAAGGTGACGCTTTAACAACAATTGCTAAAGCAGAACAAAATATTACATGTACCGTCTGTGCTATAGTAACCTGTTTTACTATTACGCAGGTGAGTTAATGAAAATCCCTGAAAGTTTTCATAACTTCTATAGAGTCATAACCATTTCAATTTTGAAACTTTCAATAAATGGCAAAGCTATTAAAAAAAAAACAGGGACTGATCCCCATTAAGAGAATCTCACCTTTCAAGCCCTCATTTCCTATGCAATATAAATCAAATCAAAGAAGAAAAATGACCACCAAACCATTGCAGGCACCATCTGGCTTTGTCTCTGCCCTGATAGGCCTAATTTCGTTTTCTAGCACTCATAAGTGGCAGGCCAAGCTGGTAACAATTTATTTCAACAAATCTTTAGATAATAAAATTACCACACTGTTCCCCAACCTTTATACAACCAAACAAAATGTTTCAGCTAGTCACTACCAACGCTATGGTCATCATTGGAAAATCACTCAACTTTGTACTCTTTTGCTTGAGCTCTGCAACGTTTCGGCAACGAATATCTTCAATGTTCAAAAATAAGTTGCTGCTTAGGAAGAAGACAAGACTGTAAGCTTTATCATTTTCTAGACCTATGTTTAAAAAAAACTTGGTCAATTCTGACAAAGAACTAGCCAACAAGTGCTCGAATGAAAACCACCCGCAACAGGGGCCTGACGCAAACGACACAAGTAACATGCTTAACGGAGAGATCGCGACGAAGCGTTCAGTGGACAACCACAAAATCGCCAATTATTGGCAAAAAAACCAGAAGACCACGAGGAAGGAGCGCATCCGACGCTGCTAAACCTTTGACGCAGGTATAAACGACTCAATACCAAAACTTTATGCCCGTGAAGCAATCTCGTGCGGTATCTCAGAGCATGTAAAAAAACTGTAAATAGGCGTTCTGATGTCAACGTTGTTGATCTCAAATGTCAAATAGAAAAAAAAGCACAAATAAGAGAAAAATGTTAATAAAATATTTATTTTCTACAGATTAAGTTCAAAAAAACTTAAATATAAGTCAAAAATTTCAAATGATTCACAGGAAATAAACATTAAAACGATGAACAAGTGGGCAGCACTGCTATAATACAAAAAGATATTTACAAAGACAGAATCATCAAGGTTTTCAAGTAAAATTAGAGCCAATTCTTCAGCCAGACGTCACTATCTAAAAAAAAATCTATATAAGGTAATAAACGAAAAACCTTCAGTATAATATGACACAAATTAGTGATAAAAACTCGTTGAAGAAAAAACCTTACTCCGTTAGAACTATAAAGAATGTCATATTTGACCGCTGAATTACTTCTATACGACCTAATGCAGAAAGGCACGTGCGAGCAATACGAAACTGAGCTTTCAATTTTGGAGGCAGATGGCCAATAAGTTCCGATTCCGTTATGAAAAAACCATGTTTCAAATCAGGATTTTGTTCTACCTGAATAAGTAGAATACGAGATAAAGAGTATCGAAAGAGTCAGATCCCCACCCACGCACCTTCCATTGACAAATAAAAGGGAAAACCTGTAAATCCCACGCATCTATCCGCCTCTGATCTGTCTTGCATAAATTATTTTTAGTTCGTCGCAGTAACTCATATTTTTCCTTCAGCACAGTATTAATTTCAGCTACAACCTAAAATACAAGTATTCTACCAATTGGCTGGCGATTCTTGCTCACCCTTCCTTCCCAGTTACGAAGTGTCGTAATTAAATAAAATCTTGATTTAAACGAGACCTAACCCCGTTAAGTTCCTGCAGAGACATCTTTCCACGAGCCCTAACTGATAATAAATCCTTCACTGAAGCATCTTGTAAATGCTAAATATGTAATATCAAAATTGATAACTTGAAGAGGATTAAAATCTGACTTTACTCCAATAAAAGAGGGAAGGAAGAAAAAATCTTACTGGAATAGTTGAGCGTTTTGTATGATTGTTTTGTTCCTTGTTGCTTATTGTTCGAACTCGTTCAAGCCTTTTCTCAAGTTCACAGTTTTTTGTGAATTCTGCTTTAGTAATTACTATTTTTGGTACAACTTTTGTTACAGCTTCTGAAGGATTATTTTTTACAAGTTCATCTGTCTCACATACTTCGTTAGTCTAAAAATAGTAAGGTAACATACAGAACCTACATATTAAGCAGAAATTAAAATCTGATAAACTAATATGTTGCCTTAAATTCACAGAAACTAGAGCAGTATTAGCAAATAAGAATATAAATTTGCATACAGGCAATCCTAATTTCAACGCCATTTCGTACAGTTTTTGGTCAAATTTCACTCTCTTATCAGCAGATGACTTTTCCATTTCATCCGCGACCAACCTCATTTTTTCACTCTGTTCAATAAGCTCCCAATATTGCTCGTTTACTGAAATATTTGTTCAGAGAAACAGAGTCTGCTAAATAACAAAAAAGTTCAAAAAGTTTTAAGATAAGAACACTGAACAAAATAAAAAAAAATGCAACAAAAACTCGTAAAAAATTTTTCAAAGAAGGTCAACCTCTTACTTTTATCGACGTCTACTTGCCGAATTTCTAACCCTTTCATATTCGATTTAGACTGCTGCTGTAAATGCTTTAAAACATCAATTGCTTCAAAGAAGTAGTCTTCAGTCATATTCTTCTGAAAAAAGCTCTACCATTTTTCCGTCTTTTAGCAAAAACTTTATCAAAGAAACTCCGAACAATAGTCGAGTCAGCAAACTCTAGGGTTACCACTAAAAAAAAACAATTTAATAGAACAAGCAGATAAAATATCAAAAATTTATACCACCGTTCTGAAAAAAAAAAAAAACTAATGTTTTTCCAATTTTCTGTAAAAAGCGCGCTACTGCAATTTATAGTATCTACTGTCAAACCAACGTATTTCCCTCTCTGTTGACCTATCCTCATTTTAATGTAAGATTATTGTTCTCCTTGTGTACACCTATATCAGCTTTCTTGAAGTCTACGCACTATTTGTTTGGCTTTAAATACTGCCAGAATACGACTCATCACAATTACAGCCTTTTAAAACACCTGGTTACTGATCAAATCTCATATATTCATGTAAGTATAGCTACTGTGAATATGGAGGGTTCAGACTCGTCTGCATCGGAAAGTTTCTTTTGGAATTTCAATGTTTCTTTTAGTCGTCATATACAGTGAACTAACAAGAAACTCTCTGGTTGAACAGAAACACTAAAAAAAAAATACTGCTCAAACAAGATTGCACAGCAGTAGACCTTGACTCACTATATTTACGAAGCCACGAAGGAAAAATCCAATGGTTAACAGACAGGATATATTTTACCAAGTGGAACACGCAATAAATAGTTGTAAATGCGATAAATCAAAGTTTAGTACTACTTTCCCAAAATCAAAAAAATGGTACAGAAGCGAGCAGAACGAACGAGGGTGAACTGACTTGAGTATGGCAGCATGTTCAAGTGGTAAACTAGGAACTAAAATTAACAGCACCTAAAGCTCAAATTGCTGTTTAACAAACAACTTAACGGCCTTTAACACAGAGTAACAAAGCACCCGTAAGCTTTATAGAAACAAAAATCAGCTGTCAGGATTCAAACAAAATATTTTCCCGCCATTAGTGGGAACCAAGCTTCAAAATTACCACTGCATTTACAAGTATAAGCTCAAAACTCTCCTTTCGTAACCGGTACGTTTCCAAAACCAAGGCAGTTGAAAGCCTACTAAATTTCCTCACGAAGCTTCTACACATACCTGGTAAAACTCTAAAAAAAAAAGTGCAGTACCTGCGCAATATAAAATCATTTCCGCAAGTAACACAATCACTAGTAGAAAAAATTAGCCTCTGTGTCACATTTCAGCAACTATCCCCTCTAGGGCTCCACAAATTGTCAAAATTTACCACCCACCACAAAGCAATTTATGTGACGACTAGAAATTGTCAAGATAACCGCGAAGCTCTCAGAAAAAGCCGGATGAAAACGCCTTTATCTGTGCTCAAACTAGCATTCTCACCGATTGCCGGTGCATTACCGTAATCTTGGTCTCGCAGCGAAAATTCGCAAACTGGAAATTGGAAATGAACGCGATAGCATTATTTTCTCAGTGGGTACTGATCAAATCTGAATGGAAGAAGAGTTTCAGCTGTTCACCTTATATGGATAGGAGAAATGTAAATCCTGGGCCTGCACATGGCGCTCCTCGAAACCGCCCATTCCCAGAATCGGCTAGTGAAGCACTTACACAGGTCCTTTCAAAGCTTCTTGTTAACGACCATTAGTCTTTTTGGCATTTTAACCAATCCAGCTAGACAAATTTGCTTTAATAATTGCTGTCTAGGTATCCAAACACTGCAGTCAGATAGGGCAACAAAAATGGCGTTCGACTATTGTACAGAGGTATAACGAGCTGCAGTTACTGCTAGATAACGATTTATTTTGGATAACACCAGATAGGCGTGGAACCCGTTTAAACCCCATACAACAACTTTGCCTTGCACAGATGCTCTGTAAGTATTTTAATGTAAGTCACATTTACCCTCTTATTTTTTCTAACTTCTGTCTTAGAAGTCTAGAACTGAAGTGTTTTTGTAGTCGAGCTCTTTTTTACTTATAACTTGGAAGTACAAAGAAAAAAAAGAATATGCAATTTCTGTTTAGTTGAAATTGAATTCTGAAGGGGATGTTTATAACTAATAGGTCAGTCTAGGAAAAAGAAAGTGAATCACGTAGTCATCAGTATGCGAACTTCGAAACAATATTTTGCGGACGCGAGGGAGAAACGCTTCTGCATGAAGTGAGGATAAATATTTTACAAAAACTGTGTTCACTTGCAGTCCAATATCCGTGCTATTCTGTCTTTGATCTCATATCAGTTTGGCTTCGAAAGGTAGACATTGTTGCATTTTTTAAATACCGTTACACATTCCTGTTGAATATTTGGCTTGCCGAGTAGTTTAGAAGTTGTTTTAAGTTTGTCAAAAATTTGTTTGCAGATTGGTGATGGCCGTTCCTATGCACAAGAGTTCGTTACCCATCTTGTTGAACAATTTATTCTCGCACCTCTCAATTGGAATTTGGTTCTTCTTTTTGGAGTGCTTTTAATTCTTTTTTCTCTTTGCTTAACACTTCGTTCCTGATCTCTCACAAAATTGAAGTTAAGAGGATTTATTTTGGGAGATAAGTCTCGGGCTTATAAGACCATGGGTTTATGGTATAACAGGTTTCTGTTAAATCTGTTATTTCCCGTTGAAATGGTCTACTTTTCAATTGGACACCTTAATAACTGCTTTTTTGAAATGTCAGATTACTGAAAGGTTTTTTGTTTTAGTATCTTCATTTATTGCCTTTAATCAACAAGTCCGAAGAATTTGTTGCTTATTTCGTCACCTATTCGGTGAACCTGTCGACGGTGCAGTCTCCTCTAATAAAAGTTTTGGAAAGCTGGCTTTCTGAAACTCAGGGTTCAAAAATATTATCTCTCATTCGGGATAATGCAACTCTTGCAAAATTTTTTGCTGAGAATGTAGGATTTCTTTTTAGTGAAGAAATGAATTTTTAATCCAAAATTTTTTTCTTTTTGTGAAGAATTTATTGTTGTTTTTTGTAACATTTTTAACTACTCTAGCTTTTGCTTAATTACTTTGTTTAGACATTCGGAAATTTGGTCGTCTATGATTGTTTAGCCGGGGACTCTTGTGAAAATGCACTACACGGTGTTATTGCCGAAGTATATGTGGATTGGTCAGACAAACCAATCCTGCAGGTTTTACCGGCTCTACAAGTAGGTATTCTTTTGGTTTATCTAATGCCTTCATTTTTAAAAACTGAAACTGCCTTTCTAGGTAGGAACGGCTTTACATCGTATTAAAATTGTCGATTGTACAGGGCATCCCATAAGCGGGTTTAGACCTTTTCAAAAATCACTGTTTTGTATGGGATAGAAGTTTCTTCAGTGATTTTTTAGTTTGACTGCCGCAGACTGGTCAAATCAAGTCATTTTTTACCGATTGACGTATTTGTTAGCAGATATTGACGCCTTTGAAAATCTGTGAGATTTTTTTTTTTAGACACCTCAAAATTTAGGTTGCTTCTCTATTTCACAACTTCCTTTATGATGCTCAGCAATAATTAACCTAGAGGTGTAGAGTCACAGTTCTCTTTTGGCTGTTTGTAGCTCGTTTTCCTTTGTTACATCTGTTAGATGAGCCGTTGTCTCACAGTTTTTGATCCGTTGTTTGGTGCAGTATAGTGCTTGAGGATAGAGCTCTTTTTATTACACGTGAGGTTGCTTTTTCCTCTAGTACTAGTAACTGCTTAATTTCCCTCCGAAAAAATTAGCTTAATTAGGTAAACTGTAGGGAATTGTGGTTATATTTTGACTTTACCGTATCACTCTTCTAGATTGATTGTTGCTGGAAATTTGAGGTCATTCACAACTTTGTATGTTTTAGGGCAGCGTGGTTTTCAGTTTTAGGGCAGCGTGCTTTTCTTATAGGTTGGTCGACCTTTGTTTTTAATTTGAAATCGGCGTGCAAATGCGTATCAGTGAGCGAGCTAGTTTTACCATTTTGTTGCTGCGCTTTGTTTCCTAATAAATGTTTTCAAAGAAAAATAAAAAAGTCTTGCTTCGTATAAAATATTTTCTTTTCAGCGAGCATACAGTATTTGCATAGTATTTATGAGATATTCGGTGATGATTGATATCTAAAGTTTAAATCTGCAGGTCTAAATTTTTAGGCGGCAGCAGTGGCTAATCTGAATTTAAATAGTGGGACCCTTTCGTATCACATTCATCTCGCGCAAAAACGCGGTTTCTTAACGTCAAAGGATATAACTTCGTTTTTAGAAGTCCCGGAAATGAAGTCTGCATATGAATACATATTGAACGTTAGAACGTAGAGTCTATCCTCTTTCGTCATTCTTTTGGCTTCTACTTTTAATCCTTATGTTTCTATTTGACTTTTGTTCCTGAAAGATTTACTGAACTCATGTATACTAAAAAGAGATGTGGGTATAGAAGTAGGTATTTTATAAAAGCATCATCTGAGTTGATGTTAATAGTGTGGTGAAACCTATACAAAGACTATATGAGCTATGGAGCTTTGATCATTGCGACGCACTGTTAAAGCACTTTGTTTATGTATGTAATATGTGCCTGCAGTGTAAAAGTGTTTCTTCACAATGCGGGAAATAACGAATTTCCAATTATAGAGCGGCGCCAGTTTTGAGGCATTTGTCTCCCTGTAGTGGCCAACGGACACTTCTAAAATGAAGAATTACTACGGCAGTAATCCTCCTACACTCCCCATAGACGCCCTTCTAGTAATATGATATTCTTACTATGGGTCGTAACTTAGCCTTTACTTGCCATTGTACCAACCAGTACTGTAACCTTCACTGATTTGAGGCGCTCGATTTCTGTCTCTGATCTCTTACAACTTGACGGTTTATGTACCTTTCGGGTAATACCTTGCTATATTGGAGTTCTTTCTTACAGTTCAACTCTATTATTCTTACTTCCCTTTCATAGTTTACAAATGGAAACTGGTTGACACTGGTTTACACCCAGTAGTATACTAAGAAGAGAAATATAAATTATATATGAGAACGACCTAAGATTAATTAAACAGATCAAAAGCTGCTTAGTGGGCACGTATTGATAGAAAACAGTAATATAAATTGAGGTAGACAGCCGCCGACGAGCAACCAGTATTGATCGGAAGCACGATTTGAACCCCAGTAACAGCAAACACTGAACTATTCCTTAATTACTGCATCCTTTATGCCTGGCTTTCGTCCGCTCAGACGTTCACTCTGCAATCCTTCCGGAAGGTTCCCTCTAGGAAATCTTTCTAGGAAACTCTATTGACTTTAATTTCTCAACGATGCCTTTCGCAAGCGGTCGCGACACTCCGTTAGAATGGTGAGAAGTGAAACTTGAATCAGGTAACTAGTAAAAATGTTTTTTGTCAATGGGCGAACAAACAATAATCTTGTATTTCCGTGAGGCAAATCATTTCTTCGAATTGTTGTGTGGAATAAAATTGCTGGTAGTGCAGTATCTGTCCGGCTGGTTACAAACAGCAGTATTAAAAGATCAAAGAAAGTTCCACTGGGAATGGGAGAAACAACTTTTTAAGAAGGTACTGGCTGCGGAATTGTAAATATTGTTCGGTTTCACAGTATTAAAGTGAAAGGGATAATTCACTTCTTGAAAGTGTTGTAGATTTGGCTCTCAGCAATTTAAATTGATAGTGAAAACGGACAGGACTGGAAGATAAATTGTAGGCAGGTGGTGAAGATGTAAGGCACGAGTGGGAAGAAAAAGTACCTGCAAACAGTGGAAAGTTTGTCATAGAAGCGAAGACTTCTGTACAGCAGTGTTAGAAGAATGAAATCAAATATTTCTAGTTGAAATTTAGTGTAATCTTAATTTTGGGTATCCTTTCATAGCACGTGCGAAAGGCTTTGCATCAGTAACTGAACGACCGTTTGGTTCGGGTGGTTTAGGAAAGATTCCGGGAATAGATTGGTGCTTCAAAAACTTGAGCACACCGTTTGGAAGTCATTCTGTGTTTTTTTTTTTACAGTTTTGTTTATGCCGTATTATTGCTACTTTTAAGGAAAATTATATTTTTAAAGGTGAGCCTTATATGATTTACTAGTTACATACCGTATATACATATTTAGTTTTACAGTTTCATAGTTTATATTTATTTTTCCTGTTGTTTAATTCATAGCCATCTTTATACAACAGATACTGGGATTTGTTGAGCAGTTATTGTCAGAAGATAGTCAGCTCAAATAACTTACACAAGGAAAACTATGATGACACTGCAGTATAAACACTGTACAGGAGTATAGCAACAATTTAAAAGCAAAATTATCTTTTTGCTGTTTTGGTCAAAATTAAATGTTCCACTCATGATCATACAATTTTTTTACTCCTAGTTGGTTCAGGAGTCTCATCAGATATTGCTGCCGTTGAAAAGATAAACGAGTTTTCGCAAGATATCTGAAAAGTTTCTGTGATATTTCCAAATCGGTTGAATATCGTCGTTGTGAATGCAACAGTATTGTTTGTTCTACCAGTTCATCCGGAAGGACTGTAACAGCCGAAAAGCGGAGAATCGGTCGCGATAAATACACCATATCTGCAAGAGAAGTTGTAATTATTTGTTTTTTAGCAAATTAATAATATTCTCCTTTCTTGCAAGTTCACTGTAATAGATAACAGTGACTTCTGAACTTTTTTGGAACTGTTTCTTAACTAGCACAGAACACGAGCTGACCAATCACCAATTGATATAGGTGTATATGTTTTATAGTTTTCATCTAACGCATAATTTTACTATAAAGTATATTTTGAGGTGGGAAATTAACCATGACAAAGCGCTTTAAGCTTTGCTGTACCTACGATGCGACCGTAAGGACTCCCGTTATTCAAGCCGTAGTAGAGAACAAGGCCCTTACCTCAAATCTCTGAGTGTAACAATCTCAGATAATGGGCGTTCGTAAAACCGTAAATTTTTTGGTATTATTCAAATTCAAGGCAATAAGATGCTCTCTGTTACCGGATTGTTGAATCAAAGAAGAGGAAAATTTAGCTACTGGATGGGAGACGGGAAGAAGAAATAACACAGATATTAAGTTTTTAGAAGTTTCCAATTGTTCAAGAGTTTGCAGATGTTTTCTCATCCAGAATTATTTCAGATTTCAAAGCAAAAGGTTCTATAATTTTCTGCATCCTCTGCTATCATTTTTTCTTACGTAACTCATCAGTAACTATCTTCTCGGCGATGTCCATTATAAATAGCAACTGGAATAAAGAAGAAAATTCTTACAGAGGTCTTTTAAACAGTATAAAAAAGTAAATAAATTTTTGGCAGAATCTCTGTTAAATGATGCTTAAATTTAACGTTAAATGGTATCGGCAGGTTTTCAAGTGAAAAAAAAAAAAATTGTTGAGAATTGTGGTCAAAAGTGATACGCATAGAAAATTATAGGCATTAAAGAAACATACCACTGGGTTTTGACCTTATGTAACTGTAGAACAACGTGCACAGATTACAGTTATTGCCATAGTTCTGCGATTGTACCTGCTTAAAAGTATTCATTTACAGATAACAATAATAAGAAAAACTTTAGTTGCCTTTTTTTGAACAAAAAATTTATTATTCACTAAAGCAATAAAAGTTGATAACTTTAAGCAAAAACAGTATCTCTCTTTTCGTCAAAATTTCTTCCATGTATTTGACTTACAACAATACTTTTAACAAAAACGGACCATTACTGTACAGTTCAGGCAACAAAAACTGATTTCCTAGATTTTCACTACCATATTTCAGGATTTTTGAAATTAAAAAGCTTCTGATTCAAAGAAACTGAAATGTGAATAAAAAAAAATCAATATAAATAGCATCATCCATGTCCTCCTTGTTTTTTAATTTTTAAATCTTTCTTTATTTAAATTTTTTACTCTGTAACTGCAAAAAAAAAAAAAAAACTTTTCATTTATTTGGAGTGAAAGTATAAATACTGCAGACAGTTAGGAAACTGAAGAGATATTGTAGACTTATTAGTGAAAGGAAGAACCTCACAAAGGTGGTTAGCAAACTTACTAAACTGAAGAAAAAACCATTGGAAGATCTTTAAAGTGAACTATCTTGATTCAACAGCCAGAGCTTGACGGCAAATGCTGCTCAAGAAGAGCTGTTTGCGGTACAGTTTTAGAACTAAGGAGTCCCCATCAAGGAAGCGATCGGCATTGACATCAAAAATGAAAGAAAGAGTCGGAACCGTAGATACCTCGTGAGCCTACTGGAATCCATTGGATGGTACGGACCCAACATCGAAAAACTCCACTTCATCGTTTTAAAAGTGGTTCATTTTTGAATCAGTTTAACACTTGTAATGGTTATTGGCTGCTGTATAATAACTGGGAAGGCGATAGAACGCAGATAGATTTAAATCACTTGTCCATCTATGGCGAGACTTCAGAAAGTAACGACCGTGGAGTAAGACTTCTATAAGTAGCCGGCTAGAGTTTTTTGGACGCTTATGAAAGTGTCGTTGTGGACAAGTTCCGTCCAGAATCAGGGCATTGAAAATGACTGCAACCGAAACTTCTGGGAAAAAAAATTGTTGTTCATGCATCACACCAGCGACAGGCACGTCTCGAATGCCGTGAAAAAAATTGAGTATAGGAAAGTTGGGTAAAAAATTCTACTGTATCTGCCGTACTCTTCATCCTTGGCGGCTATCAACTTTTTTAAAAATTTTTTGTTAATCTTTCATGGAAGAAGTATGCGTGATCCAAATTATGAAGCAAGGATTGACGGCGATTTTTTGACCTCAAGTTCCCTGAGTTTCATAGTCAGTAGGATGTAAAAAATGCTTTCACGCTGAAAATTACTAAGTTTTGTGGCTTCCACTTTCCTGTCTAGCTTTAAACTGGCGTAGAGCTATGATCTGCAAAAACTGAAGGGGAAAATTTATGGGCCACCATACAGTTCAAAAAAAGTTGATTACATTGAGGACTGTTGGAACAAATCAGACTGATAAGTGGCAGTTAACACAGAGAATCCAAGCTGAGAAAATCGTTTTAAACCACCCACCTTAGCTGTTGCTGATCTAAATACCATCCCAATGTCGTGCTTAGATACATTACGTAATCCTTCTTGTTCGTAACTCGCGAAACCACTGGTAAAGTCCTTCGTGAACCTCGAATTTAAGCTATTTTTCACAGCTTCTCTCCGTTGTTGAAGTGATTTTGCCGCTTTTTTATTTATTATATCCACTTTGCCGACCAAATTAGAGCTGAAATCGTGTTGATCCTTTTTCCAAAGTGACGTTGTATCTGTCCGATCTGTTAAATGCAGTTTTCTGTGCAATGCATTAAATTTTTTTTGAGACTTTGCTTTTCGAATCATCTTTGCAGCCTGCATTAAAGTTAACCTGGAAGTACCCTTCCTAGACCTTAAGCGCAGAGCTTTGCTTCTCCGTATTGCTTCTAATCCTCTACTTCGTTTCTTCGTTATCTCTGAGACCATAAATGACCTTGCTGCTGAATCATCATAAAAGGTTCCCCCAAACTGTGACTGAAGTTTCAAATGCTCCCGATTTACTATTGCATCTGCGGCTTTCAACTCAGCATCGATTAACGAGGCTGTCTGCAGTTCCTCTTTCGACAACTGCACAGCATTTTCCAAGTCCTGAATATCTTTTGTAAACTTATCTTGAACAGAAGCATATTTTTTTGATTGAAAGCTTGGCTTTTGTTCCATAGCATTTAAATATTTGCCGAACCTTCTATTTTCTTCTTCAGCTGCTTCTAGTTTTTGCTGCTCATTTAAAAGGCCCTCGCCTTCTGTTTGTAAGTGACGCATCATTTTTGAGGGCATCTTCATTTGCAGTGTAATTTCTGAGGGCAATACGTTAATGCCAACTATACTTCGTAGTTTTAACATTGCTTTTTCAAGTGATGTCTGACACCTGGAACTACTTGACTTTTTAAGATATCGACGGATATGCTTCGTTGGCCACATCTTACTGTAGTCAAATCCCTTAAACAGCAATCGTTCAAGATTCTGAGCCTCTCTTATCATCACTGCTTCTGATGATATATCTGGCAGCGATATGTGCCCTTGGATTTCAGGCTCCATGGTCTCTGAAAAGACTGTTTTTCCTGGATAAAAATTTGTATTTTCTAATTTCATCATTCCGTTGAAACGTCTGCTTGACTTTTCCGCAAATGCCTTAGATTGTGATTCTATTTGTTCAAAATCTGAAGTTTGTAGTCCCTCCACTTTTGTTTTGGCCGCCGGCCTAAACTCCTCTTCCTTCAGATCATCTGCCGACAAATCCAAAAAGGCATCACTAAGTGTCGATTCTTTTTCTTTCAATGCCCCTTCTTTCACACCCGAATCTCTAGTCAACTCTTCAATTCCACTTGTCAAATCGGTGTCTGAAATTGTTCTTTTAAAAGCAGCACTGCTTTGGTTCATTGCATAATTGAATACTCTTTTTCCATTTAAAATTGTCTCTTTGGCGCTAGGCTCGACATTTTTTGCCCATTCGGTTTCCTTTGAGCCTACCATTTGATTTTCGGAATTGAGATCTAAAACATCTGAAGAACTTTTCGTTCTTTCTAGGTCCCAAACAGTTCCAATAGACTCCAGGAAAAGGTTTTGAAGTTCAGAACTTTTCCGATGTTCAACTTTTGAAACTTTCGAAGCGAACTGATTAGTAGTTACTCTTTTTGATAATCTAAAATTTCTTGCATCATTAAATTGTATTTCATGAGCACCTCTTTTATCGTTTTTATAGCCAAAGGCTTTCTTTTCGTTTAAAGCTTTTTCTCTCAACTTGTACCGCTTCCGCTTCATCAAAACAGACCTTCCTAAGTTCCTCACTTGCTGCAAACGGTCATAATTGCTTATGCCTAAGATATTCCGAAATCCACGCCTTTTCGTCGACGCCCAAGTTTTTTGACTACTTCCATTATTGAAACTCAACCAGGCATTTCGAAACATCTTGTAGGCAACAGAGTTCTTTTGCCCTGCAGCTTTCGCTATTTTTGTTGACAGTCCCTTTGAAATCATTTTTCTAAATCCTATCGAGTTCTGCGTGCCACCTGTCCATTTCTGCTTGTTGGATAATTTCCTATGGAAGGTATTTTCTGCTGAAAGATCTGACGTATTATACAATTTCTGCATTTAAAGGTTCTTTTGAAAAAGCTTTTCTTGATTCAAACTTCAACTTTCCTTTTCTCTCAAACTTTTTTGGTTTCTTAATATGATAATTATAAATGCTTAAGGCCTGAGAATATAGTATACTCTCAAAGGATTTTCTAAAAAATTTAACACCCTTTTTATTGTCACATTGACCGTATAAATTTTTCACGTAGTTCAAGTGCCCCTGCCTCTTGTTCAGCCGTTTTATCGCCTGTTTTTTGACAACCAAACTTATTTGCGTTTTTATTATCTTTAGATATCCTTCTTTTCGCATACCTGCCTTCATTCTTCGTCTTTCCGTTGAGATGTGTGCCATAGACAACTGTGCTGCCGCAGAGTGGTCAAACGCTCCTTCACGATACTTTGACCACTGCTCACGTTCCGCTTCATTCGTAGCTCCCACATTTTGCACCTCGGAACTACCATACAATAGTTTCTTGACCACTGATAAAGTTTCCTTCTTGTTCCTATTAGCTCTAAACCGGCTTTTTGACAAAGCTGATTGTTCTCCAGAGATCTGCAAAACGGCTTGCCTTTGTTAAACTCGACTAAACCATCGTGAGAATTCTCGGTATTTACTGCTTCTTGAAAGCATATTATTTAACCACTCTAAAACTTCTTAGCTGTTTGATTTTCACTAATTTTTCCAGGTTGAATTACGAAAAGCGCTGACCTGAGAAGTGCTTCCAGCTTCCGCAAGCGACATACTATGGTCAAGTAACTGTTCTTGCGAATCTGAACGGCGTCTTGAAATTTTCGCTATATTGCTGGCAACCTGCTGACCACTTTTGAAGCTTCTTTGGGCACTCGCTTGCATTCTAAAAATTTGCTTCCTTGCTCTCGCTCGCACCACCTCTTCTTCTAACTTCCTCTTCATCAGCTGCTCTTCTAGCCTCTTCCTCATCATCCGCTCCTCCAACTTACTTCTCCTTACCTGTTCTTCCATCTCATTCCCAATCATCAGTTTGTCTACCTTCCTTTCCATCGTCTGATCTTCCGTCTTTTTTCTCATCATTTCCTTCTCTTTCTCCGCCGTCTCTGTCAGCTCCTTTTTCATTCTTCTTATCAATTCCTCTTCCTTCTTATTTCTCATCTCCATTCTCCTCTTCAATATCTGCTCTTCCATCTCCTTTTTCAATATATGCTTTTCCATCTCTCTTCTCGTCAGTTTTTCCTCTACCCTTCCTACAATTCGCTTCTGCATATTCATTTTTGTTATCTGCTCCCCAACTCTCTTCTTCATTAGCTGCACTTTTATTTTTCTTCTCAACGCCTTTTTCTTCTTAATACTTCTTATTATCAGCTCTATTATCTTCCTCTTTGATACTTCCTTTTCCTTCTTACCCCTCACCAATTCCTCTCTTATCTTCTTTCTCATCATCTGCTTCTTCATCTCCCACTTGAACATATGCTTTTTCGTTTTCTCTCTAATTATTTGTTCCTTCATTTTTTCTAAAATTCGCTTGCCCATCTTTGTTGCTGTCTTCTTTCGTATCCACTTTTTCATCATATGGTCTACCATCTTCTTCCATATCAACTGGTCTTCCAACTTTTCCTTCATCATCTGCACTTTCACTTTTCTTGACATCATCTCTTCCTTCATCTTTCTCATTACCAGTTTCTCCATTCTCCTTCTCATTTCTTCTTCTTTCTTCTTTCTCCTCATTAATTGCCCTTCTTTCTTCTTCTTTATTAATTGCTCTTCCATCTTCCATTCTAACGTACCCGTATCCAATTTCTTTCTGATTAT